TTAACCTCATATTATGATAACAATAAAAATTAAAAGATTTTTTAAATTAAAAATGAAATTAAAACAATTCAAAAAGAATTGAGAGGCAAAAGGGTAATATTGGATTCAAAGTGATAAAAAATTTTAAAATACGATCACATTAACCAAATAATTTGGATAACATAATGGGCTATTATGGTTACCGCTTATTTCAACACGATTTGGTGTGATTTGGGTGTGATATGGGTGTAATAATCATGTGATTATCACACAATTATCACAATGATTCCGCTCGGCTAGCGTTAACTTAGGAAATCGACTACCGATTTGGTGTGATATGGGTGTGATAATCATGTGATATCACTATCATAACARYGCAMTYKATTTGATCATGGTTTCGATCGGTTAGGGTTAGACAATCACACATTTATCACAACGATTTCTCATGGTTTCGATAGGTTAGGATTAGACAATCACACATTTATCACAACGATTACGGGCGAAATCCACTAAACGATTTGGTGTAATATGGATGTGATAATCATGTGATATCACTATTATAACATCACTTGCGCACTATCATGGTTTCGATCGGTTAAGGTTAGACAATCATATATTTATTACAACAATTACTCATGGTTTTGGTAGGTTATGATTACATTCGATTGATCATGGTTTTCGGTGGGTTATGGTTACACAATTACACAATTATCACAAGGGAAAAGAAGAGAGTGGAAACGAACGTGCAGGAAAAATAGGGATAATTATAATCAATTAAAATAAAATAAAAATTATAAAAATTACTTAATTACATTACTGTCCTTATTAATTTATTTATATTTAATATAAGTTAATTTATTAATTAAAAAAGTTTGAGGTTATTAGATTGTTCTCGCATTCTCGTAAATCACAGAGGTTCTCGTTTGACCTCTAAATGAAAACAGCCCCCATTTGTGTAAACAGATCTCATCCATCCATTTTCTTGATCAATGGTCAAAATTAGTTTAGTTTATTTTAGGAAATTAAAAAATATATATATTAAAATTTTATTTTTATATTAGCATTAAGGGCAAAATGGTAAACAAAAATACATATTCTCTAACATCCTTATCGATCATGCACCCGTTTCATTTTCCATTTCACCTAATATTCGGCTCAACTACACCATCACTGAAACGGGTTTCACCATGAAATTCGTTCAATACTCATTGTTCAATTACGCTATGAATCATTTTCACCTTCATGAAACATGTTTCATGTACATTAATTTTTTTATTCCAATCTGATTTGATGAACTACACCATAACTCTAACGTGTTTCACCATGAAATTCGTTCAATACTCATTGTTTAATTACGCCGTGAACCATTTTCACCTTCATGAAACATGTTTCATGTACATTAATTTTTTTTTATTCCAATATGATTTGATGAACTACACCATCACTGAAACGTGTTTCACCATGAAATTCGTTCAATACTCATTGTTCAATTACGCCATGAACCATTTTCACCTTCATGAAACATATTTCATGTACATTAATTTTTTTATTTCACTCTTGATTTGATGAATTCATTTTCCTAATGCCTTACAATCTTCAAGATTCTGCAGCATATTCAATCGCCACACCATTTAAGAATTTCAAATTTTTAATATTATAATATAATTAAATATTTAAATGTTACTATATATAAAATTTTCATTATTACGTTTCCTTATTTAAGATTTATTAATAATTTCTATATTTAATAGAAAAAATTGTAAATGACCGAAATACCTTATTGATTAAATTTAATTAGAAAAAAATAGAATTTTCCTATTGGTCGAAATTAGTTTACACGGTTTCTAAGAAATACACGGTTTTCATTTGAATGTGCATATATATATATATATATATATATAATCAAATGAGAACTGTTTTGTTTGTGGTAACCGTGAGATCAAATTTCAACCACAAATCAAAGGTTAAATTAGAAAATTAATAATTTTGCTAATTTTAACTTAAAATATTAATTAAGAGCATTTTAGGAATTTTATAAATATCCTTTATCATCTCTTCTCTTTCCTCTCTCCGACGAATCTTATTCAACGAACCTTATTCCGATGAACCTTATGTGAACACAAGATACACACAATAATACCAAGAAAAGTAGCCTACTTTAGGGGTAAAATAATGCAATTAACACTTACGAAATTCATTTGAGCGGATACACGGAACTCTTCTCGGACATGAATAGGTCCGTCCTTGTTTGTTACGTATTAAATTTTACAGACTATTTCTATTTTGCCCAACTTTTAAACACGGGTTATTTTTCTAACAACAAAATTTAAAACCGTGATAGATTTTATGACGATAAATTGTCTAAAATATGATTATAAATTCCTCTTGATGTTGAACACCTTTGTTTATTGAATCACTTTTGGAATGGAATTTTTGATGTTGCAAGGTTTGGATGAATGAATACATATCTTTTTAATTCGACAGCCAACAAAAATTATACCTCAAATTGTGATATAGATAATGCTTAAATTAAAAGATAAGACAAAAGACTATTCCGTTCGTCCCAAATTAATTATTCACAACGAAAATAACACATATTTTTAGAAATGTCTATTTATTACACTTTTAAATAATTAAATAACATTTTTACTGTTAATAATAGAGGTAGAAACTTTCTTCATCCACTACAACAAAATCGGTTTTATAGGACACTCTCAAATCCTAAGTGTCCTAATAAACCTCTTTATAGGACTTAAAAAATAAAGTGTTCTATCTAAAGGTGTTGTAATAAACGTCGTAATAAGTTTTTTAGGACACTTTTAATATAAAGTGTCCCATTATCAACTTTATAGGATACTTTTGATATAGTGTCCTATGAACTCAATTTTTTATAGGACATTTGTTTTTATAGGACAATTTTTCAAATAGTGTCCTATAAATTTGATAATTGGTCGTTTTATATTAAAAGTGTCCTAAAAAACTTATTACGACATCAAAAAACATCATATAAACTTATTACAACACTTTTAGATAGGACGCTTTATTTTTTTTGTCCTATAAACTAAGTTCTATAAAGATGTCTATTAGGACATTTAGAATTTGAGAGTGTCCTAAAATACCGATTTGTTGTAGTGATCTCATAATTAATGGTAGATTGAGAAAGTACAAACTTACTTTTAAAAGTGCCGACTTTTTATGAAACAAACTAGAAATATTGACAATTAATTTAGGTTTGTGTATACGTTTGTGTTGAGAAACAGAGGCACTACAACAAAAACGGGTTTATAGGACACTCCAAATATCTAAGCGTCCTAATAGACCTCTTTATAAGACTTAGGTGGCGTTTGTTTTTTAAGAGGTGCTTAAGTCTGAAGTCTGAATTCACTTCTGAATTTTAAGAGGTGGTGCTGAAGTCTGAAATCTGAATCAGTCAGACTGTTTGTTTTTACGTCTGAAACCTGAATCATTGAAATCTAGGCTTTCTTTGCAAGCATTGGAAGCTCTAAAAGCAATTAAGAGGTTTTAAGTGAAAATGTTACCTCTAAATAATTCAGACATAATCAGAGCTTTTAAGCTCTTAATTGAAAAAAAAAAAACAAACACACTTAATACCGTAAGGTCTGACCGATTCAGACATAAGAGGGTATTAAGTGTTTTTTAGTTAAAAACAAACAGGGCCTTAGTATAAGACCAAACAAATGAAGCGTCTTATCTAAAGGCGTTGTATAAGACTTGGTGCTATAAATTAAGTCTTATAAAACGGTCTATTGAGACACTTAAAGATTGTGGATGTCCTATAAACCCAATTTTGTTGTAATGATTACAATATTTGTGGTTTAATTTCTTTGTGGAAATTTAGATATCCCAAATTTTTAATTTGTAGGAATTCAAACAAAAGGAATAATAAAGAAAATGGCCAATGATAAAAGTGTTCATTTTTAGTTGAATTTCCACACCAATCAATTGTTGATGCCTCTAAATTTCCACATAGAAATAAAAAGATAAAGTTTGTAGCATGGAGTATTTCATTCTATAAATTAAGAGGTATTCGGCAATCTTTTTGCATTCACATCAATAACCAAATATGGATCCTTTCTTCTCACATATATTCCCATTCCTTATGGTTTTTGCTTGGTTTGTCATCACAAATGAATCCACTTTGCACAATTCTGCTTCTACTTTTGCTGGTTCTAAACAAGATTATGCTCTCATCATGTGGAAATCCAGCCTCGAAAATCATGTGTCCTTGTCTTCATGGTCATTAATTCCTCCCAGATATTATAACTCTTCTACGGATGTAGTTTCATGCAGTTGGTTTGGAGTTTCCTGTCACTTGGATGGAAGCATCAAGAAGTTGAACCTCTCATCATCTAGTTTGAAAGGTACAATGTACAAGTTCCCATTTTCATCATTTCCCAATCTTACTTCGCTTGATTTGAGCACAAATGAGTTCTTTGGACACATTCCGTACCAAATCAGTCAACTCCAGAAACTTGTCCATCTTGATTTTTCTGACAATCAATTCTCAAAAGAGATCCCACGAGAAATTGGGAATCTGAGCTCGCTCACTACCCTTTATTTGTGGGGAAACAATATTTATGGTCCTATTCCTCATGAGATAGGGAATTTGAGGTTTCTTGTAAATCTAGGTATTTCCAAAAATCATCTAGATGGTTCCATTCCTTCTTCACTTGGGAATCTGAGCTTGCTCACTACTCTTTATTTGTTTGAAAACGATCTTTCTGGGCCTATACCTCATGAGATGGGGAATATGAGGTCTCTTGTAAATCTAGCAATTTACGAAAATCATATGGATGGTTCCATTCCTTCTTCATTTGGGAATCTGAGCTTGCTCACTACACTTTATTTGTATGAAAATGAACTTTCTGGGCCTATTCCTCATGAGATAGGGAATTTGAGGTCTCTTGCAGATCTAGAAATTGAAGAAAATCATATGGATGGCTCCATTCCTCCTTCATTTGGGAATTTGAGCTCACTTACTACACTTTATTTGTATCAAAATCAACTTTCTGGGCCTATTCCTCATGAGATAGGGAATTTGAGGTCTCTTGTAGATCTAGAAATTGATGAAAATCGTCTGGATGGTTCCATTCCTTCTTCACTTGGGAATCTTAGCTTGCTCACTAAACTTTATTTGTATGCAAATGAACTTTCTGGTCCTATTCCTCATGAGATAGGGAATTTGAGGTCTGTTGTAGATCTAGAAATTGACGAAAATCGTTTGGAAGGTTCCATTCCTCCTTCAATTGGGAATCTTAGCTTGCTCACTAAACTTTATTTGTCTGAAAATGAAATTTCTGGGCCTATTCCTCATGAGGTAGGGAATTTGAGGTCTCTTGTAGATCTAGCAATTTCTGAAAATCATCTAGAAGGTTCCATTCCTCCTTCATTTGGGAACCTGAGTTTGCTCATTACACTTCATTTGGAAAACAATGGCCTTTCCGGACCTATTCCATATGAGCTAGGGAATTTAGGGTCTCTTTTGAGTTTACAATTGTACAACAATACACTTTCTGGAAATTTACCCAATAGAATGTTCCAAGGTGGAAAGATTCAAAAAATTAGTTTGTCTGACAATGCGTTCAATGGTCCAATCCCACAAAGCCTAGGAAATTGTTCAGATTTAATTAGAATTTGGTTTGATGGAAATTTTCTATCCGGAGATATTTCTGAAAGTTTTGGCATACATCCAAAATTGTATTTTGTAAACCTTGCGAGGAACTATTTTCATGGGGAGTTGACTGATAAATGGGGTACGTTCAAGAAACTGGGAACCCTCGATATCTCTGCAAACAATATCACTGGTACGATTCCCCGAGAATTTGGAGATTTGATTATGCTAGAACGAGTTAATCTCTCTTTGAATCGATTGATTGGAAATATTCCCAAGGAACTCGGTAATTTAAAGGATATGCTATACTTGGATCTCAGCAATAATCAATTTTCAGGACCAATACCGGAAGAGCTTGGATTGCTAACTAAGCTTAGGGAACTTGACATTTCAAATAATAAAATGAGTGGAGTAATTCCAAGAATTCTTGCAAATTGTGAGGAACTTGATTCCTTAAACTTGAGCCACAATGATTTAAACCAAGAAATTCCAATCCAGATATTAGAGTTAAGGCATTTGAGTAAGCTTGATCTAAGCCATAATTTCCTTGTTGGGGAGATATCATCCAAGTTTCGAAGTCTGCAAAGTATAGAAGTTCTTAATCTATCCCACAATCACCTCTCTGGTACCATTCCTATCACATTTGCGGGTATGCGTAGCTTAATTTTTGCAGATGTCTCCTATAACTGTTTAGAGGGTCTTATCCCTAAATGCAATGCCTTCACTAAAGCTTCAATGCTAGAAGGGAACAAAGGGCTATGTGGTGACATTGTTGGATTTAAACGATGCACAATGTCAAGAAAAGACAAGCACATTATGTCCCTAGTAATCGTGTTTAGTATTTTAGGAGCACTTGTGTTTCTGAGTACAGTCGTAGGGCTTGTGATATTTTATGAAAAAAGAAAGAGAACACCTGTAAGTGAAGTATTACAAGAAGAGCACCAAAGTTTGTTTTGCATTACCAACTTTGATGGAAAATCATTATATGATGAGATCTTGAATGCAACAAATGATTTTGACACTGAGTTTTGCATTGGAGAAGGAACACATGGTACTGTTTACAAGGCAATTCTTGGATCAGATACGATAGTAGCTGTGAAGAAAGTGCACTTTCCGTTCCAACAATCTAATGATGTAAGTTTTGTTAATGAGGTGACAACATTAACAAATATAAGGCATCGTAACATTGTGAAGCTATACGGATTTTGTTCACATGCCCGTCACTCATTCCTGATTTATGCTTACCTTGAACGGGGTAGTTTGAAAGCAGTGCTAGATGAAGAAAACGAAGCTATGAGATTGGATTGGAGTAAGAGGTTAAATATAATCAAAGGAGTGGCAGATGCTTTGTCTTATATGCATCATGATTGTTCACCCCCAATTGTTCATCGTGACGTATCAAGCAAAAATATTTTGCTAGACGCGGAGTATGAGGCTCAAGTTTCTGACTTTGGCACTGCCAAATTCTTAAAGCTTGACTCTTCAAATTGGAGTGAGCTTGCAGGCACATATGGATATATTGCACCAGGTAATGTTTCTTACTAGAAAATAGTTTAAACTTGATATTAAGTTTATCTAACCGGTGGATCACATTACATCCTCATTTTTGTTTCTTTTAACTTGTTCAACATATATTTTTCATTGTAGAGTTTGCTTACACGATGAGAGCAACTGAAAAGTGCGACGTGTATAGCTTTGGGGTTTTGGCACTTGAAGTGATCAAAGGACAACATCCCCATGATCTTATTGAAGTTCTGTCATCTCCGTTCTCTGAGAAACTGGACTTGAATGATTTGGTGGATCTTCGTATCGCACCCTCTTCATTACAAACTAAGATGATATTGGAATATGTGATTATGGTCGCAATAGAATGTCTACAAACCATTCCAAAAAGAAGGCCAACAATGTATCAAGTCTCTGCACGCCTATCGGCCCTTGGTCTACCAATGATCACAAGCACCCGTAACACTCACTTGGAAACAATCTCTCACTAGGTTATCTTTTGAGTTCACCTTATGATCATACGTTTGGCCTTCATGAGATATGGTTTCATGTTATGAGTTTGTAACTTAACCTTGTTTTTGTTGTGTTTTAAATATTATATTAGTTTTCTAATTGTGAAGGCATTTTAGTGAATAATTGATATGAATATGATTTTGCGGTTGTTTAGTCTCTTAAATCGCATTGAGCTTCCTAACACTACAACAAAATCGAGTTCATAGGACACTCTTAATTTCTAAGCGTCTTAATAGACCTCTTTATAAGACTTAGTTTATAGGACCAAAAAAATAAAGTGTCCTATCTAAAGGCGTTATAATAAGTTTATATGACGTTTTTTTGACGTCGTAATAAGTTTTTTAGGACACTTTTAATATAAAGCGCCTCATTAGCAACTTTATAGGATACTATTTGAAAAATTGTCCTATAAAAACAAGTGTCCTATAAAAAAATTGAGTTTATATGACACTTTCTCAAATGTGTCCTACAAAGTTGCTAATGCGACACTTTGTATTAAAAATGTATAAAAAAATTGCTAAGACGCCCAAAAGCGTCATATAAACTTATTACAACACCTTTAGATAGGACGTTTTATATTTTGCTCCTATAAAGCGGTTTATTGGGACGCTTAGAGATTGAGTGCATCCTATAAACCCAATTTTGTTATAGTGGATTCTCTGGGTGATCCATTATTATTTTCTGGAAAAATGGCTGATTCTACCGCCCATTGGTATTTTCTGAGTGAATCATGAATGGAAATTTATGTGGGTAAAAGTCATTTGTTACAACTAAAGCAGGAAAGCTATTGTTAATGTATTCACTACAACAAAATCGGTTTTTTAGGACACTCCCAAATTCTAAATGTCCTAATAGACCTCTTTATAGGACTTAGTTTATAGGACCAAAAAAATAAAGTGTCTTATCTAAAGGTGTTGTAATAAGTTTATATGACGTTTTTTGATGTCGTAATAAGTTTTTTTAAGACACTGTTAATATAATGTGTCTCATTATCAACTTTATAGAACACTATTTGAAAAACTGTCATATAAAAACAAATGTCCTATAAAAAAATTGAGTTTATAAGACACTTTCTCAAAAGTGTCTTATAAAGTTGATAATGGGATGCTTTATATTAAAAGTGTTCTAAAAAATTTATTACGACGTCAAAAAATGTCATATAAACTTATTAAAACACCTTTAGATAGGACACTTTAATTTTTTGGTCCTATAAACTAAGTCCTATAAAGAGGTCTATTAGGACACTTAAGATTTAGTAGTGTCCTATAAAACCGATTTTATTGTAGTGATTGATTGAAAGTATAAACCTTTTTTATAGGAACTTATTAATTGACATTAAAGTAGATTACTAGAGAGGTAAATCCTTATCAGCTGTGGTTGCAGGAATCCAAATTGCTAACTTCACACTTTCTCTAGAAAACAAAGTTATTCAACAATGAACAATTGAGGTCTCTAAGACGGAGAGAAGTGTAGGCATCTAAATGGATTCAATTTGTATCGTTACGATTAGAATTATAAATATAAGTCCTAACGTTTGCTCAATAATTGGCAACTCATTTCTAACACAAAATATACCTCCATTATAATTATAAATACAAGTCTTAGCGTTTGCACAACAACTGACAACCCATTGCTAACATAAAATATACCTCCATTAGAATTATAAATACAAGTCTTAACGTTTGCCCAACAATTGGTAATCCATTTAATTTCTAACACAAAATATACTTCAATTAGAATTATAAATACAAGTCCTAACGTTTGTCCAACAATTGGCAACTCATTTCTAACACAAAATATACCACAATTAGAATTAAAAATACAAATCATGACGTTTGTTCAACAATTGACAACTCATTTCTAACATAAAATATACCTCAATTAGATCTCATTTCTCTTATAAATGGCTCTTTTCAATAGTAATGTTAGAGGCTTCCACATATTATCACATTATAAAGCATATTTCTAGAATTAGAAATAAAAACATTGTGTTCTAAATCAAATATACATAATATATATATACATGATATGTATTCAGAAATATATACATATATATATATACATACATAAAGTATATATAATATGTACATACAGAAAATATTATATACATACATATATATATACACATACATACATATACATAATATATATATACATATACATAATATATATATATATATATATATGAAATCGCCGGTTTCTATAAAGGTGGTCGACGGAGGGTTATAAACATATATAGATATACATACATATATACACACACACACATATATATATATATACACACACACACATACAGATAATATAAACATACATACATACATATACATACCGGTGGTTTTTCTTCAAAGCTACGATCGGTGGTCAGAGGCAGGGGAAAATGGCGTGGTCGGGGTAATCACCGATTTCTTCAAAGCTATACGATCGGTTTTTCTTTTTCTCTAAAATGGTGGCGGCTGTCAATCTGAGGAAGATAGAGTTTTTATCGTATCAGATTACCAGTGGATTCGTCTGCCGAAATTTTTTTGAAAATTTAATTTGTTTAAAAGTAACGGGTCTTTTTGAAAATATTGAAATTTTCATTTTCCGGAATATATTTTTAAAATTATTATTATTATTATTATTATTATTATTATTATTATTATTATTATATATTATTATTATTATTATTATTATTATTATTATTATTATTATTAT